ATAACGCTCTCCTAACACAGTGCAGAAACCCTTCAAAGAAAGCACCAGAACAAAGAGAATTGAGAAGGAGCCACTCTGAACTGTTATAATATCAGGTTATACCTGATGGCATTTTATTTGACACACATTTCTTTGGTGGGATACCACATCTTAGAAAACTTTAGATTTCTCTTTTAAGAACACTGTTTCATGGAGGGTCATTGTATCCTTTAAAACCAGGCAGCCTCAGGGCTTCCAGTCCTATCTGCTACAGGCATTCCTTTACTGTGGTGCCTCTTCAGATGAAGTCCGCAGGCCTCTTTCATCAGGCTCATAACTGCTATTTCCTTGGCCTTGGAGGAATATCCCTGTGTCTCACCTCTCAGCACAGATGGTGACCAGAGGGTTAATGCAAATCTAAGCAGCTCTGCCCAGTTTCTGGGGCCACAGAGCAGCAGTGGGCTAGAAGCCAGGGGGCAGAGCCCCATGGTCAGAGGAAGGTCCAGGTTCATGCAGGCAGTTTAAATCCGGGCTGCCTCCAGACAACTAAATCAAGTGCATTGCTGGCACCCATTTAAAAGCTAGCACAATGTGGGGTGGGGGAGGGGCACCTGGGTGGCTCAGTAGGTTAGGCATCTGACTTCAACTCAGGTTATGATCTCACGGTTTGTGGGTTCGAGCCCTGTGTCGGGCTCTGTGCTGACAGCTCAGATTCTGGGTCTCCCTCTCTCTGCCCCTCCCCTTGCTCACATTCTGTCTCTATCTCAAAAATAAAATAAAAACATAAAAAAAAAAGCTAGCCCAATGGTTTTCAGCCCTGGCTATACTTTGAAATCTCCTGGCGAGCTCTGAATACCAGTGCTGGAACTCCACCCCCCGGGGATTCAGATTCAGTTGGCCTGGAGTGGGTGCTGGGCATCAGGAGTTTCCAAAGTTTGCCAAACAACTCCAGTGTGTAGCCGGGGATGAGAATCACTGAGTTAAGGAGACTACAGAAAGTTCATGCCGGTCCAGCCCATTTGATTCTGTTCCACTCCACTCACATTTTCTTGAGGAAGTGTTAGGTGGCAGACACTGGAAAAATAAAGGAGGAATAACTGTGATCCTGTCTCAGAGGAACAAACGATTAGGTTGTGACAAATGCCCCATAACACAGTGGGCAGTGGGCTGCAACACAGAGTGCCAGGGAGGAGGGAGGGCTTTGGGAGGAAGAAAGGAGGAAGTGGGAAGGTCAGGAGAAGATAAAGAGGGCTGACCAGTATTTGCCCTGGGCCTAGATTGCGTGTGAGTAGGGGCATAAGCGGCACTTTTCAGCAGAACGTTTTATCATTGGTAATGTGATGGCAGGATGAGCATTAAGAGACATTTCAGGGAGCCTAGTGACAGACTGTGAGACTGGGGGAGGGGCAGGGCAATGTCCTTCCTTGTGCCCGGCTCCTTCCCTCCTGGGTGCTGGTCCAGGCCACATCTCTGCTTGCAAGTCAGGTCCCAGGCGGGTAAGTAGCCGCCAGGGAGGATGCAGTCCATCAGGCCACATAATCATCTTACCAGTGTTCCCATTTCCTCCCTTGAAGGGGTAGGAACCAGCATGTGGGCCCCTCCAAACAAGACCTGCTGAGGCAGAGCTGCAAGGGGCTGGATTATGCTTGTGTGTATGTACCTGCCGGCTTCCTCACCAATGGGCCATGCTGTATTCTTGTATTGCATTAGAACTACCTGCTAGCTGCCTTTTTTTTTTTTTTTTAAATTTATTTTGAGAGAGAGAGAGAGAGAGGGAGAAAGAGAATCCTAAGCAGGCTCCGTGCTGTCAGTGCAGAGCCCATTGTGGGCCTCAAACTCATAGACTGTGAGATCATGACCTGAGCTGAAATCAAGAGTCCGACGCTTAACTGACTGAGCCACCTGGATGCCCCTGCTAACTGGCCTTTTACACTAGCTTATGAATGCAAAACACTAGACTGGTCTGGAAACTGGCCCTGAAAGTGCTAGTCTCAAGGGGGCCTGTGGCCTCCCAAAGCCAGAGCATTTCAGGAAGAGTCCAGGTTGAGCACATCCTCCAGAGAGCACAGGGCTCCTTGCATGTGGGGCTCATCCCACGTGCTGGGCCATCCCTGCCAACTTTATTTCGACACATGGAAGTGTTTGCCACGGTCACGGAGGTGTGTGTTCTGCGTTGAGGCTTTCTTTAGTTGTAGCTGCAGTGGAGCCCTGGATACCCCCACAGCCACCTTCTGCATCCGCTTCAGTCTCCCCAAAGTATCTTCGTGAACAAATTCAAGTTTTAACTTCAAAGGAGACGGAAGAAGGCCGTGCTTCCCTGCAGGTCACACAGTGCCACTTTAAGACAGTTTTATTTGGGCAGTAAAATCTCGGAGTTGTTCTTGGCAGAAGTTCTAATGAAATGGAAACCTTGAGATCTGTGTAGAGCTGTAAGTACGGTCTCCCCCTGTGTTTTGGGGGCTCAAAGTTGTAGGCGATCTTACTCGCTGATCTGATGTACTTGCAGAGAGGCTTGGTATCCAGGCATCCTTTCAGAACGTAAAGGAGTTCTACCATTTGGCTTGAGGGAGCTCTGTCCTTGAGACCAGAGGACTGGCTGGGAGGGAGAGCAATGCTTCTCAAAGCCTGGTCCCTGGCCTGGTGGGGTGAGTATCACGTGGGGACTACTTAGAAATGCACATTCTCAGGGCCTACCAAGACGTCCAGGTGATTTTCATGTGCAGCTGGAGTTTGAGAGCCCCTGGTTCAGTATGACTTGGCCTTTGGAAAATAGTGTAGAAGAGAGAGAAGAGATGATGCTCATCTCAGCCTAAGACTGATCTGCTTGATCTACTGAATCTGGTTAGCCAAGATGGTCTTGGGCATCCACTCAGAGGAGGCACCGGGCACTGTACAGACCAGTGTGCAAACATGGGTCCTTCTCCAGCCCTGACCCAGTCAGGTTCCTTGTGGGGGGTTTACCTTGCTTTATTGACACCTCAGAAGGGAAGATAGCAGCTGGTATCCCAGGGAAGGAGCACAAACTGGTTTCGTGCCATCAGCGTTGGTTCCAAGGGATAGGAAAGTTCTCTGTACTATATATATTTATTTTAGAATTAGTATTCACTCTGTTAAAGCAGCAAACTAAAAATCCTAGGTCTTAAATTTTCCTTTCAGTTTACAAATCACGTCCTATTTAGGGGCGCCTAGGTGGCTCAGTTGGTTAAATGTCCAACTCTTGATTTCGGGTCAGATTGTGATCTCATGGTTGGGGAGATTGAGCCCAGCGTTCGGCTCTGCACTGACAGTGTGGAGCCTGCTTGGGATTCTCTCTCTCTCTCCCTCTCTCTCCCTCTCTCTCTCCCTCTCCCTCTCCCCCTCCCCCTCTCCCCCTCTCTCCGTCTCTCCCTCTCTCCCTCTCTCCCCCCCTCCCCCCTCCCCCCATCTTTCTTTCTCTCCCCCGCCCCTCCCCTGGAGCCCATGTTCTCTCTCTCTCTCTCTCTCTCTCTCTCTCTCTCTCTCTCTCTCAAAATATTAAAAAAAACAAAAACAAATCACATCCTATTTATAATCTAGCAAGTTTTCCAACGATTTTTGTTGAAGTATAATTAAGATACAGTTATTAGTTTCAGGTGTACAATATGATTCAATAATTATGTACATTTCTCTGTGCTCATCTACATAAGTGTACTCTTAACCCCTTTTATCTAAGAAGGTTTTTGCAATCCTTTTCAAGGAAGCTTTAGATAAGATTTGGCCCCCCCTTGTAAATTTGGCAATTAACAACTTTTAAACCTTTAAACCTGCATTGAGAAATTTAACATATTCAGTTTCCTTGTCAAGTTTTTTCGTTGGCTGAGGAGCCCTTTGTAAATACTCAAGTATCCAAACCTAATAAGCTAGTTCTATAAACATGGGAAGTCTCAAGTTGTCTTACACATTCTAATATTGCTTATAAACCTAATAAGACTTTAAAATCAAATCTAACTCGACTTTAAACTAGAATCACAAATCTAATTCATTGGACACTGTCAAGTTCTCTTAAGCACTGCAAGTTCATTTATTTATTTATTTATTTATTTATTTAGTTAGTTAGTTAGTTAGTTAGTTAGTTAGTTAGTTAGTTTTGAGAGTGAGACAGACAGAGCCCAAGCAGGGAAGGGGCAAAGAGAGAAGGAGACACAGAATTTGAAGCAGGCTCCAGGCTCTGAGCTGTCAGTACAGAGCCTGATGCAGGGCTGAAAGTCACAAACCTCAAGATCATGACCTGAGCCAAAGTCAGATGCTTAACCAGCTGAGCCACCCAGGTGTCCCAAACACTGCAAGTTCTGAACAAAATGTACAAAACCCCTATCACAAAGCTATTCCTACCACAGGACTTTCTTTCTTTCTTTCTTTCTTTCTTTCTTTCTTTCTTTCTTTCTTTCTTTCTTTCTTTCTTTCGAGAGAGCACGCAAGTGGAGTAAGGGGCAGAGAGAGGGACAGAGAGAATCCCAAGCAGACTCAGCACTGTCAGTGCAGAGCCCGATGTGGGGCTCGAACTCACGAACCGGAAGATCATGCCTTGAGCCGAAATCAAGAGTCGGATGCTTCACCAACTGAGCCACCCAGGCACCCCAGCCATCCTCTTTAATTCTAAATATCCCCAGGAATAAGCTGCAGTTTTTCCCATTAAGGATGTAACCGTCATTCATTCCCAACAGTTTTGGTATTGCTTCCTCAAGTGGGCTTTTGGAGGATGATTTAAGGAATAATTTTTAAAAGGAAGTTTCTTTTTATTAATAATAAAGTAATACATTTCTTTTGAAAGTGAACCTGGAAAGTGGGTGCTGTGGTATATATCTCTGCACCCCTGCACCGCCCCTCCCCAAACACAGCCACTGGGTGGGATGTTTCAAGTCACACAAAAGCTCGTTCTTGGGCTCGGCAAATTGGAGCAACCTGCAGAGCCAAAGCCCAGACGTGGGGACCAGGCCATAGCCAGGTGGCTTTGCTGCCCTCGGGTTGTTGGCGTCGTGGGTGTGTGTGAACGAGGCTGACTCATGTCCTGTTTCCCTCTTTCTGGGCAGGTTGGCCTCATCCAGCTTGGGCAGGAGCAGGTGCTAATCCAGCCACTCAACAGCTCTCGGGGCCCACTCAGCGGACGAGAGCACCTGGTCAGGCGCAAATGGTCCTTGACACCCAGCCCCTCCACCGAGGCCCCGATACCTGGGCAGCTCTGCAAGGTTCTAACAGGTGAGTCTGGGAAACCTCACGACTGACAGCACACACCATTCGGCACCATTGCATGTCCCCAAATGCACTGAAGTCATGAGAGCAAGAACTCACCTTTCCCGGTACTTTGAAGCTGTTTTGTTTGTTGCTCCTAAGGCCACTTCCTTTTCCTCTTTATGTGGATTGGTGTTAGCATTTCGTGCATGATTCTAATAAGTAGCTTGGGGATGAGAACCCAGGGTTCTTGCTTTCTGTGCTTCTGTTTGAGCCACCTATGGCTTATCAGGTGTTTAAGAATATGTCACAGTCACTGTGAAATTGACCCTGCTGTGTCACTGGCCGTCTTCCTGTGACTGTTCCCTGATGAAGACGGATAAACTGCTTGTCACAGGTGGCATTTCCTCCTTGGAGGGCATGGGACCCCATGGCTGATGTTTGGGAGTTGTGCTTTTGGCATTTAAAGACTTACCTGGATAAAGAAATATAGTGTCTTGGTTTGGTATTCCAATAACCTTGGAAATATTTATTTATTTTTGAGAGAGACAGAGTGTGAGCAGGGGAGGGGCAGAGGGAGAGGGAGACACAGAATCCGAAGCAGGCTCCAGGCTCTGAGCTGTCAGCAAAGAGCCCGATGCGGGGCTCGAACTCACAAATGTGAGATCATGACCTCAGCCGAAGTTGGATGCTTAACTGACTGAGCCACCCAGGCGCCCCTAAAAAATACTGTTTAATAGGAAGCAGGGGTTTGGGTAAGTTGGTTGGTTGTATGTTTCGGCTTGATGTTGGTGTGTTATTTTAAGCCACTTGACAGTCTCGGTGGAGCATTTTTTAAAAAATCTGCTTTCAAAGTAAATGTTGGTCATTCCACATCTAAGTGCGCTTTCTGCTGCTAATGTGAATATATTGTTTTAGAGGCAGGGGGAATAGCAAAGGCAGTAGGACTCAGCACTGGCTGTCCATGGGCATCACCTGGGGAGCTTTAACAGTCACTCAAGCCTGGGTCCTGCCCCCCCGGAGAGCTGCTTTAATTGGTCTCGGGCACAGCCTGGGCATCTGGTGATTTAAAACCTCCCCAGGCAGTTCTAATGTTCAGCTGGTGCTGAGAATCACTGTGCTAAGGAGTATTAGACGTGAGTAATAGCACCAGTGGGCCATCGGAAGTGGGTTTTTGCAGGTGAGAACCACCAGGCAGGGCCCCACAGTGAAGTCCAAGGGCAAATACGTTTTAGTCTCACTTTTGCCTCTATTCAAGTGGCTGATCTCATGGAATATTTGTCTCATTCCCCCCGTTGACATCCTCTTTAGGGGCATGCGTGATACCAAGGATTGCTGACCAAATGATACATTGTGCTCAGGTTTGCATTTTTGTCTCTGAGGCTGGCTACAAGGCACCCTTTTGATAGAGTGTTTAGCCTGTAATGAAGGAAAGGAACAAAAACAGGGTGGGGAGGATGTGATATAGATGAAGTTAAACTAAGAGCAGCCTTGTGAGAAATTTCTGAATTTGCTTAAAAAAATCCTCTCCCCTTCCCTGCCCCCACATCTCCCATCAGTGCGCTCTGCCGTGCCAGGCTCTGCCCTGGGTAGGTACACGGACACGGGAAAAAGGTGTGTATTTCCCTTCTGGTCCTTCTTGCTTTGTGTGAAATATGCTGTAAATTTTGTTGCTGTATTGAGACAGACAGTGGGCCTTCTAATAAGTTTAGCTAATTAACAGTCAATTAGGCCCTATCTAGTGTGAATTAACTTTCTGGGAGTTCAGAAATTTAATTTAGAAATTGAGAAAATCAATTTACTGGGAAACCAGCAAGATAACATTTTTGTTTTCCTGGACGTATGAATCAGATTAATCATCCAAGATTTCCGACGGGAACATATTCTCTAGGGATGAACATGGCTGTCAGATGTGGCATTGTGCCTTGTCTTGGATCTTGTGTTGCCCCGACTTTGGACCCAGACTGGGAGTAACCAGCTGCCTCTTGCAGGTGAGGAGTGTGGTAATTTTTCCTCCTTTGTGAAGCACTCAATTTACCTGAGAGTTGAACTGTGGTAAGTCACCCTGTTCTCTTCAGGGACAGATGGACTAGCACAATGGAGGCCTCCTGGGAGGACCCACTGCCTTCTTGTAGGTACTACTGAGGTTGCATTTCTTTCTGGCAGTCTTTGGGGCTCCCAGGGAGAGGACAGTCTTATCCTATCACCTTTATTGCTCCTTATTTTTAGGACCTTATAAACTGATCCATAAAGCATCACTCCAGGTTGGAACTTGGCATGAAAAATATGGAGTCTGTGGGCTTTTCTTTTCTTTCATATTTTTCTTTTTTGTCACAGCACGAGTTTTTGAAGGTTTTGGGGGCTGTTCCCAACAACTAAATTGGCAGTTTGGATATTTTTAAATGTGTCTCAATTTCGACTTCAAAACTTTTTGTCTGTCTTCTATGCTTATTTTAATTTCTCCATTGGATTCTGTTTAGAATCTCCCCACTTAGCATTTTCATGGACTTTAGTAACAGTTTCAATCTCTGTCTTCTCCTCCATCACGGTAGATGTAACATGTCGATGGTTGAGGTAGATGGCAGAACGTTAAAACTCCTTTGCCGCAAGGCACTGTCAGAATAGGAATCCTACAGTGTTTCGGGTGGGCTCTTTATAACCCAGATATGCCATCTGACAATGGTACCTGCAAAGACATTGACATCTCTTTTTTTTTAATGTTTATTTATTTTGAGGAGAGAGAAAGAGAGAGCAGGGGAAGGAAGGGGGGGAGAGAGAGAGAGAAAGAGAGAGAGAATTCCAAGCAGACTCCGTGCTGTCAGCACAGAGCCTGATGTGGGGCTAGAACTGTGAGATCATGACCTGATCTGAAATCAAGAGTCGGATGCTTAACCGACTGAGCCACCCAGGCGCTCTAGATGTCTGCTTTGTAGTTCAAGTTGTTATGACTGTTTTAAAAGATCATTACAGTTATTTTGTAGTATTGTTTGGTTCATTTATATAGCATTATAAAGTTAACTTTAGTGAGTATTTAGAGGATGCCACAAGTCTTTAGAAATTGTGTATTGCTAATTTGTGCCATAATTTGCATAACAACTGTGTTTATAATCTGCAATAAATAATTGGTTGGGGCTTGTGCTTTGCATCCATTGAGATTCATTTGGTTGGAAATGACAGAAACCAAACTGGCTTAACCACCAACACCACCACTGCCCTGGGCTCTTGGAACTGAGGAGCAGAGAAGGAGGTTGGACCTCAGGTAGGCTACGCAGGTGGGACTCCTCAGAAGTTGCTTCTCTCTCTGACAGCCTGTCCTCAGCCAGCTTCTCTTGTAGTGACAGAGAGGCAGCAGGGCTCAGGAGGTAAACTCTACTGTTGAGTCTGGAGATGAAGTGGGTTGATTCGGATTGCAACTTGGACTACTTCCAGCTTGTCACTGGTTCACATGTCTGGAGGCAGGACCAAAAGAGCTTCGGTCCCAGCCCCCACATCACCACGGAGGTATCATTCTGCTTTCTGTCCTCATCCCGGCTTCTCATGGGCCACCATATTGGTAAAAATCTGGTGGAGTAGATTAGGGGCACCTCTACTCCAGGTCTGACCCGTCATTTCAGCTCACATGGTTGGTCAGAATTTGGCTGTTTTTTTCCCCCCACACTTCCGCAAGATCCTCTGTCTGATGCTTCTTAGCTCCTTATCTCATCTGTGGTCCAGGGATAAATGTGGCTAATGGTCTTTACTTACTTAGGAAGAGTTCCATCCCTCTGAAATTTGGTTCTACTCTAAATGTCATCAAGACCTCAGCTGCCCAAGTGGATAAAAATGAGGGGCACCTTGGTGGCTCAGTCCATTAAGCATCTGACTCTTGATATCAGCTCAGGTCATGATCTCATGGTTAGTGAGATCTCGCGAACTGTGAGATCGAGTCCTGCGTTGGTGTCTGTGCCGATAGTGCAGAGACTGCTTGGGATTTCACCCCCACCCCTCTCTCACTCTCACTTTGCCCCTCCCCACTCATGCTCCTTCTCAAAGCAAATAAATAAACTTAAAAAAATGACTTCATAGCTTATACAGTATTTTGTTGTTTCATGTTCTTCTACGTCTTAACTGGAAGAAGAACCCAACATAAATGGAATTAAAATGCTACTACTTAGAGTTTCTCCATCTTAATATTTTAGGTGTTTATTTACATATAAAAACATTAACTCCAAAAGTAGACACTGATCGTTTAAGAATTATGATTCCAAAGGAAAGAAAGGAGAACATGCTAGAAGCCTGACTCTGTCTTTCTTGGATGTGACCCCAGGAGAGTCCCTTGATAACTCTGTGACTCTGTTGTAATTTGTTAGGGCTGCCAGAACAAAGTACCACGGCCTGGGTGACTTATACAATAGGCATTTATTTCCTTACAATTCTGGAGGCTAGAAGTCCAAGGTCAAGGTGTTTGTAGAGTTGGTTTCTTCAGAGGCCTCTTTCCTTGGCTTGTAGATGGCCACCTTCTTCCTGTGTTCTGACATGGTCTTCCCTCTGTGCGTGTCTGTGTCCTAATCTTCTGTTCTTATAAGGGCACTGATTATATTGGATTAGAGCCTATTGATGACATCATCTGCACTTAATTACCTTTTTAAGACCTTCTCTTCAAACACTGTACTCTAAGTTGCTGAGGGTTCTAGTACACAATTTAATCCGTAACCACCTCTGTGTTGTCCTCTGTAACATTGACATGATGATACCAGTGTTGTCTGCTTCTCAGGGTTATTGCTGAAGGGGAACACGCAGATGAGGAGTGATGTTAGACTTCCAGCTGCGCTGGTGGGGGGCATATTCTTGAGAACACTCACAAATGCCTAGAGGGTAGAAAACAAATTTAGAAGAAATTAGAAACAGGCTGTGTGAAGAGACCCTTTCTATAAGAATAGATGTCATAGTTGGCTGGTCATCTGTTCACGTATTTTTCTTGATAAACAAATACTGAAGGAGCTGCAGAGCCTCAGACAAGGTAGAAAGGATTGAGCCACTCTGACCTT